CGGGGGAGAGCGGTAGGCGGGGGTCCGGGGATCTGGGGGGGAGCGGAAGGCAGCGGAGGCGGGGGTTCCGGGAGAGCGGAGGCAGCGAGCTGCGGGATGGTCCGGGGAGAGCGGAGGCGGGGGTCCGGGGAGAGGCGGGGGGCGGGAGAGCGGAGGCATGCGGGGGTCTGGGGAGAGATGCGGATGTAGCGAGCTGAAGCGGGGGTCTGGGAGAGGGATGCGGGGTCTGGGGAGAGGGGATGCGGGGTCTGGGGAGAGGGGATGCGGGGTCCGGGGAGAGAGGATGTAGCGATGCGGGGTCCGGGGAGAGCGGGATTGTAGCGACTGCGGGGGTCCGGGGGGGCGGGGGTGCGGGGGGCGGGAGAGCGGAGGCCCAGGCGGGGGGTCCGGGGAGAGCGGATGTAGCGACTGCGGGGGTCTGGGGAGAGGGATTGCAGGGGTCTGGGAGGAGCGGGGATGCTGGGGTCTGGGGAGAGGGGATGCGGGGGTCTGGGGGAGAGGGGATGCGGGGTCCTGGGGAGAGGATGGCGGGGTCCGGGGAGAGAGGATGTAGCGGATGCGGGGTCCGGGGAGAGAGGATGTAGCGGATGCGGGGTCCGGGGAGAGAGGGTAGCGGATGCGGGGTCCGGGGAGAGAGGATGTAGCGGATGCGGGGGGGACCGGGTGAGAGAGGAGGCGGGTCAGGACGGGGGGGTTCCGGGGAGGAGCGGGGCGGTGCGGGTTCCGGTGTGAGAGAGGATGTAGCGGATGCGGGGTCCGGGGAGAGAGGATGTAGCGGGAATGCGGGGTCCGGGGAGAGAGGATGTAGCGGATGCGGGGGAGGGTCCGGGGAGAGGGATGTCGGAGAGAGGATGTAGCGGATGGGGTCCGGGGAGAGGATGTAGGGGATTCGGGGTCCGGGGAAGAGGATGTAACGGATGCGGGGGTCCGGGTAGAGGAATGTGCGGAATGCGGGGTCCGGGGAGAGGGAAGCGGGGTCCGGGGAGAGAGGATGTAGCGGATGCGGGGGTCCGGGGAAGAGAGAGGATGTAGCGGATGTGGGTCCGGGGTAGAGAGGATGGCGGATGCGGGGTCCGGGGGCGGGAGTGCGGGGGTCCGGGGAGAGAGGATGTAGGGGATGCGGGGGTCCGGGGAGAGAGGATGTAGCGGATGCGGGTCCGGGGAGAGAGGATGTAGCGGATGCGGGGTCCGGGGAGAGAGGATGTAGCGGATGCGGGGGTCCGGGGAGAGAGGGGATGCGGGGTCCGGGGAGAGAGGATGTAGCGGAGGGGGTCCGGGGAGAGAGGATGTAGCGGGAGGCGGGGGTCCGGGGTTGAGAGGATGTAGCGGAGGCGGGGGTCCCGGGGAGAAGAAGGGATGTAGCGGAGGCGGGGGGGGATAGCGGAGGGGGGGGGTGGTCCGGGGAGAGCGAAGAGGGGGGGGTCCGGGGGGGGAGGGGGAGAGAGGAGTTCGGGGGCGGTGGCGGGGAGAGAGGAGGCGGCGGAGGCGGGGAGGAGGAGGAGGGGAGAATATCGGGGTCTAGGGGGAGAGGGGATGGAGCGGAGGCGGGGGGTCCGGGGAAGATGGAGGTTTCCCTGCACACGTGGCCTTTCCTTCTTCTCTCTATTATAACTCCTCCCCCTTCCCTCCCCCCAGATGAAAGGTCCGGGAGTGGAGACACCTCCGACAGTAACTAAACTCCGCCCTCAACATGCCGGTCATTCCCATGAACACCATCGCTGAGGCCGTCATTGAGATGATCAATCGGGGACAGATCCAGATCACCATCAATGGATTCAGTATCAGCAATGGCCTGGCCACCACTCAGGTACGGATGTGATTGGCGGCGCGACGTTCGCCGTGAGCCCGATGTCCACCAATCACTAATGATCAATTCTTCTTCAGATCAATAATAAAGCCGCCACGGGGAGGAGGAGGTCCCGAGGACGATCATTGTCACCACGCCGGTCGCAGTATGGATTGCCCGAGGACGCCGTGGTTGTACTGCAACTTCAACCAGCTGTACAAGATCGACCCGCCCACCCTGCAGATGTGGGCCAATGTAAGTAGACCAACCCAGAGCAAAGCACCTATCAGAATATAATGCCCCCCAGGGGACAGCCCCGCCCACTCTTAGATGTGGGACGATGTAAAATAGACCCAGCCTGGAGCGAAGCGCCTATTGTCTTTTATGTTTCCGGCACTGGTGGCTGGGAGGGTGCTGGGGGGTTCGGCCCCGTGTTGGGGGGGGGGGGGGCTTGTCTCTCGGTTCCGGCCCCCGTGTCGGGGAGGGTTGTCTCGGGTTAGGTCGGGGGGTGTCGGGAGGGTTGTCTCGGGTTCCGGCCCCGTGTCGGGGGAGGGTTGTCTCGGGTTCCGGCCCCGTGTCGGGGAGGGTTGTCTCGGGTTCCGGCCCCGTGTCGGGGAGGGTTGTCTCAGGTTCCGGCCCCGTGTCGGGGGGGTTTCTCGTCTCGGGTTCCGGCCCCGTGTCGGGGAGGGTTGTCTCGGGGTTCCGGCCCCGTGTCGGGGAGGGTTGTCTCGGGTTCCGGCCCCGTGTCGGGGAGGGTTGTCTCGGGTTCCGGCCCCGTGTCGGGGAGGGGGGGGGGATGGGGGGTCTCGGTCTTCGTTCCGGCCCCGTGCCCCGTGTTGGGGGGGGGGGGGTTGTCTCTCGTGGGGGCCCCGTGTCGGGGGGAAGCGTGTTGAGCTCGTGTAATGTACTCATTCTCCATGTTTGTCCTCAGTGTTTATTGGTTGTGTGTTTGGTGTTTATGTGTGTTTTGTGTTGTTTTTGGCATATTTGATGTTTTTATTTGGTGTGTGTGTATTTTTGATTTGATTTTTTTTTTGGATTTGGATGTTTGTTTTTTTTTTGTGTTTTTGTTTTTGTTTGTTTTTTTTTGGTTTGTTGTTTTTTTGTTTTTATTTTGTTTTTTTTTTTTGTTTGTGGGTTTTTTGTGTGTGTGTTTTGTGGGGGGGGTTGTTTTTTTGTTTTTTTATTGTTTGGTTTGTTTTTTTTGGGGGTGTGTTTTGTGTTTGTGTTGGGTTTTTTTGTGGTTTTTTTGGTTTGGGGGTGTGTTTGGGGTTTGTTTTTTTTGTTTTGGTTGTTTTTTGTGGGTGGGTTTTGTTTTTTTTTTTGTGTTTTTTTTTGTGTTTTTTGGTTTTTTTTTTTTTTTTTTTTTTTTTTTTTTGTGTTTTTTTGTTTTTTTTTTTTTTTTTTTTTTTTTTGTTTTTTTGGGTTGTTGTTTGGTTTTTTGGGGTTGGTTGTTTTTTTTGTGTTTTTTTTTTTTTGTTTTGTTGTGGGGTTTTTGGGTTGTGTGTGGGGGTGTTTTTTTTGGTGTTGGTTTTTTTAACTATACACGGTCATTATATGCAATTCATTCCATTCCCCCCACCCCCCCCCGGCATTAATGTGGCTTTCAAACATACCCCCTATATATATGACCTACCTCCCATGGTAAATGTGGCGTTATATTCCCCCACCCATCCCTACCCTTAATGGTGGCGTTCATAACCCCCCCCCCCCCCCCCCGGCCATCCAATGTGAGCCCCACATCATACCCCCCCCCCCCCCCCCCCAGCCATTAATGTGGCGTTCATGACCCCCCCCCGACCCCACCGGCCAATAATGTGGCGTTCATACCCCCCCCCTAACCCCCAAAACTCCCCCCCGGCAATTAATGTGGCGTTCATCCCCCCATCCCCCCCGGCCCATTAATGTGGCTTCATACCCCCCCACCCTCCCCCCCGGCCAAAGAATGTGGCCCTATACCCCCCCCCACCCCGCCCGGGCCACATTTAATGTGGACCTACCCTACTGACCCCCCCCCTCCCACACCCGGCCCGATTAATGTGGCGTTCATACCCCCCCCCCCTCCCCCCCGGCCATGAATGTGCTTCATACCCCCCCCCCCCGGCCATTAATGTGGCGTTCATTACCCCCCCCACCCCCCCCTCCCCCCCCCTAGCCATTAATGTGGCGTTTTCATACCCCCCCCCCCTCCCCCCCGGCCATTAATGTGGCGTTCATTCCCCCCCCCCCCCGCCATTAATGTGGCGTTCATCCCCCCCCCCCCCCGGCCATTAATGTGGCGTTCATACCCCCCCCCCCCCCCCCCCGGCCATTAATGTGGCGTTCATAACCCCCCCCCCCCCTTGACTCCCCCCCGGCCATTAATGTGGCGTTCATCCCCCCCCCCCGTCATCCCCCAACCCCCCGGCCATTAATGTGGCGTTCATACCCCCCCCCCCCCCCCCCCGGCCATTAATGTGGCGTTCATACCCCCCCCCCCCCCCCCCGGCCATTAATGTGGCGTTCATTACCCCCCCCGCCCCCCCGGCCATTAATGTGGCGTTCATACCCCCCCCCCCCCCCCCCCGCCATTAATGTGGCGGTCATACCCCCCCCCTCCCCCCCGGCCATTAATGTGGCTTCATACCCCCCCCCCCCCATCCCCCCCGGCCATTAATGTGGCGTTCATAACCCCCCCCTCCCCCCCGGCCATTAATGTGGCGTTCACCCCCCTCCCCCCCTCCCCCCCGGCCATTAATGTGGCGTTCATACCCCCCCCCCCTCCCCCCCGGCCATTAATGTGGCGTTCATACCCACCCCCCGGCCATTAATGTGGCGTTCATACATCCCCCCCCCCCCACCGGAACACCGGCCATTAATGTGGCGTTCATTCCCCCTCCCCCGGCTGCTCCATCCTCCATTTTTCCGGGAAGGACTCCACAACATTGCAGGATAACAAGGCTGTTTGTGGTTTTCTGATTTGTAGTTGATCCGGGGGGGGGGGGGACGGATCTGGAGTAGCGAGTACCGGATTGGGGTAACGGAGAGCATGGATCTGGGAGAGCGAGTACAACGGATTGGGTAACGGGGCAGGGACGCACACTTAGCATAACATGGAGTTTTGTATGGATCTTGCACGGTGCCTGGATTGGTAGTGAATGTGCTTCTTTGCTCCCCCCCCCCCCCCATTGTTTGCTTTACTTCCCATTTCTGGTCCGATTTTCCACACTTAGGTGACACTCTGGCCTCTCGGCGAATCGCTGCGTCTCAACTCACCTGTCTGGGCTGTCCGGACTCATCGCTAAGGGCCGGCAGGATTATGAAGACATGGCTGTGAAACTCGGCACGGATCTGGAGTAGTGAGTACCGGCTTGGGTAACGGGGCACGGATCTGGAGTAGTGAGTACCGGATTGGGTAACGGGGCACGGATCTGGAGTAGTGAGTACCGGATTGGGTAACGGGGCACGGATCTGGAGTAGCAGTACCGGATTGGGTAACGGGACACGGGATCTGGAGTAGTGAGTTCTGGGCGGGGTAACGGGGCACGGATCTGGAGTAGTGAGTACCGATTGGGGGGCACCGAGATCTGGGGTGAAATATAGTTCGGAATGGTAACGGGGCACGGATCTGGAGTAGCGAGTACCGGATTGTGTAACGGGGCACGGATCTGGAGTAGCGAGTACTGGATTGGGTAACGGGGCACGGATCTGGAGTAGCGAGTACCGGGATGGGGGTAACGGGGCACGGATCTGGAGTAGCGACGGATTGGCAAATAGCCGGATTGGGTAACGGGGCACGGATCTGGAGTAGCGAGTACCGGATTGGGTAACGGGGCACGGATCTGGAGTAGTGAGTACCGGATTGGGGTAACGGGGCACGGATCTGGAGTAGTGAGTTCGGCGAGGTAACGGGGCACGGATCTGGATTGGGGGGTAACGGGGCACGGATCTGGAGTATCGAGTACTGGATTGGGTAACGGGGCACGGATCTGGAGTAGCGAGTACCGGATTGGGTAACGGGGCACGGATCTGGAGTAGCGAGTACCGGATTGGGTAACGGGGCACGGATCTGGAGATAGCGAGTACCGGATTGGGTAACGGGGCACGGATCTGGAGTAGCGAGTACTTGGATTGGGTAACGGGGCACGGATCTGGAGTAGCGAGTACCGGGCGGGTAACGGGGCACGGATCTGGAGTAGCGAGTACCGGATTGGGTAACGGGCACGGATCTGGAGTAGCGAGTTAGTACAGGATTGGGTAAACGGGGCACGGATCTGGAGTAGCGAGTACCGGATTGGGTAACGGGGGCATGGATCTGGAGTAGCGAGTACCGGATTGGGTAACGGGGCACGGATCTGGAGTAGTGCGGAGTACCTGGATTGGGTAACGGGGCACGGATCTGGAGTAGTGAGTAGTAGGGCGGGGTAACGGGGCACGGATCTGGAGTAGTGATACCTGGGCGGGTAACGGGGCACGGATCTGGAGTAGTGAGTTCTGGGCGGGGTAACGGGGCACGGATCTGGAGTAGCGAGTACCTGATTGGGTAACGGGGCACGGATCTGGAGTAGCGAGTACCGGGCACGGGTAACGGGGCACGGATCTGGAGTAGCGAGTACCGGATTGGGTAACGGGGCACGGATCTGGAGTAGTGCGAGTACTGGATTGGGTAACGGGGCACGGATCTGGAGTAGCGAGTACCCGGATTGGGTAACGGGGCACGGATCTGGAGTAGCGAGTACCGGATTGGGTAACGGGGCACGGATCTGGAGTAGTGAGTTACTGATTGGGTAACGGGGCACGGATCTGGAATAGCGAGTACCTGGGCGGGGTAACGGGGCACGGATCTGGAATAGCGAGTACTACGGGCGGGGTAACGGGGCACGGATCTGGAATAGCGAGTACCGGGCGGGGTAACGGGGCACGGATCTGGAGTAGCGAGTACCGGATTGGGGTAACGGGGCACGGATCTGGAATAGCGAGTACTGGGCGGGGTAACCGGGGCACGGATCTGAATAGCGAGTACTGGCGGGGGTAAACGGGGCACGGATCTGAGACCGGACTGGGCAACATCACGTAGCGAGTACTGGGCGGGGTAACGGGGCACGGATCTGGAGTAGCGAGTACACGGATCTGGGAATAACGGGGGGTAACGGGGCACGGATCTGGAGTAGCGAGTTACCGGTATTGGGTAACGGGGCACGGATCTGGATAGCGAGTAGTACCGGATGGGAGATAAGTTCGGGGTAACGGATCTGGAGTAGCGAGTACCGGATTGGGTAACGGGGCACGGATCTGGAATAGCGAGTACCGGATTGGGTAACGGGGCAACGGATCTGGAGTAGAGCGAGTACTGGGCTGGGGGGTAACGGGGCACGGATCTGGAATAGCGAGTTCCGGGGTACGGGGCACGGATCTGGAATAGCGAGTACCGGATTGGGTAACAGGGCACGGATCTGGAATAGCGAGTACCGGACGGGGCACGGATCTGGAGTAGCGCAGTACCGGATTGGGTAACGGGCACGGATCTGGAGTAGCCGAGTTCCGGGGGTGGGTAACGGGGCACGGATCTGGAGTAGCGAGTACCGGATTGGGTAACGGGGCACGGATCTGGAGTAGTGAGTACCGGGTTGGGAAACGGGGCACGGATCTGGAGTAGCGAGTACCGGATTGGGTAACGGGGCACGGATCTGGAAAGCGAGTACTGGGCGGGGTAACGGGGCACCGGATCTGGAGTAGCGAGTACCGGATTGGGTAACGGGGCACGGATCTGGAATAGCGAGTACCGGGCGGGGTAACGGGGCACGGATCTGGAGTACCGATTGAGTAACTGGGCAGTACCGGAATAGCGAGTACTGGTTGGGTAACGGGGCACGGATCTGGAGTAGTGAGTACTGGGGGGGTAACGGGGCACGGATCTGGAGTAGTGAGTACCGGGCGGGGTAACGGGGCACGGATCTGGAGTAGTGAGTACCGGATTGGGTAACGGGGCACGGATCTGGAGTAGTGAGTACCGGAGCGGGGTAACGGGGCACGGATCTGGAAGTAGCGAGTACTGGATTGGGTAACGGGGCACGGATCTGGAGTAGTGCGAGTACCGGGGTGGGGTAACGGGGCACGGATCTGGAGTAGCGAGTACCGGGGATTGGGTAACGGGGCACGGATCTGGAAAGCGAGTACCGGATTGGGGGTAACGGGGCACGGATCTGGAGTAGCGAGTACCGGATTGGGTAACGGGGCACGATCTGGAGTAGTGAGTACTGGGCGGGGTAACGGGGGCACGGATCTGGAGTAGTGAGTACCGAGGGTAACTGGGGCACGGATCTGGAATAGCGAGTAACGGGGGTAATTGGGGGCACGGATCTGGAATAGTGAGTACTGGGCGGGGTAACGGGGCACGGATCTGGAGTAGTGAGTACCTGGGCGGGGTAACGGGGCACGGATCTGGATAGCGAGTACCAGGATTGGGTAACGGGGCACGGATCTGGAATAGCGAGTACTGGGGGCAGTAAACGGGGCACGGATCTGGAATAGCGAGTACCGGATTGGGTAACGGGGCATCGGATCTGGAATAGCGAGTACTGGGCCGGGGCATTGGGTAACGGGGCACGGATCTGGAGTAGTGAGTACTGATTGGGGGGGTAACGGGGCACTGGATCTGAGTAACTATAGGGCGCGGGGCAGTACCCGGATTGGTAACGGGGCACGGATCTGGAATAGTAGCGAGTACTGGGCGGGGTAACGGGGCACGGATCTGGAATAGCGAGTACCGGATTAGGGTAACGGGGCACGGATCTGGAATAGCGAGTAGCGAGTACTGGAGTTAGCGATTACCGGGGTAACGGGGCACGGATCTGGAATAGCGAGTACCGGGGTAACGGGGCACGGATCTGGAATAGCGAGTACTGGGCGGGTAACGGGGCACGGATCTGGAATAGCGAGTACCGGGTGAGGGTAACGGGGCACTGGATCTGGAATAGAGCGAGTACTGGGCGGTGGGTAACGGGGCACGGATCTGGAGTAGCGAGTACCGGGATTGGGGGTAACGGGGCACGGATCTGGAAGTAGCGAGTACCGGATTGGGTAACGGGCACGTAACAGGGCGGCATTACCCGGATCTGGGTAACGTTGTGCATGGATCTGGAGTAGCGAGTACCGGGCAGGGTAACGGGGCACGGATCTGGACAGCGAGTACCGGATTGGGTAACGGGGCACGGATCTGGAGTAGCGAGTACCGGGCGGGGTAACGGGGCACGGATCTGGAATAGCGAGTACTGGATTGGGTAACGGGCACGGATCTGGAATAGCGAGTACCGGGTGGGGTAACGGGGCACGGATCTGGAATAGTGAGTACCGGATTGGGTAACGGGGCACGGATCTGGAATAGCGAGTATTCGGATTGGGTAACGGGCGGGGTAACGGGGGCACGGATCTGGAATAGCGAGAGTACTGGGCGGGGTAACGGGGCACGGATCTGGAATAGCGAGTACCGGGCACGGGCACGGATCTGGAGTAGCGAGTACTGGTACTGGGTAACGGGGCACGGATCTGGAATAGCGAGTACCGGAACGGGGCACGGATCTGGAATAGCGAGTACTGGATTGGGGGTAACGGGGCACGGATCTGGAGTAGCGAGTACCGGATTGGGTAACGGGGGGGGCACGGATCTGGAATAGCGAGTACCGGATTGGGTAACGGGGCACGGATCTGGAGTAGCGAGTACCGGATTGGGTAACGGGGCACGGATCTGGAATAGCGAGTACCGGATTGGGTAACGGGGCACGGATCTGGAGTAGTGAGTACCGGGCGGGGTAACGGGGCACGGATCTGGAATAGCGAGTACCGGATTGGGTAACGGGGGGCACGGATCTGGAATAGCGAGTACCGGGCGGGGTAACGGGGGGGTTAACACGGATCTGGAGTAGCGAGTACCGGATGGGGTAACGGGGCACGGATCTGGAGTAGTGAGTACCGGATGGGGTAACGGGGCACGGATCTGGAATAGAGTAGTGAACGGGGCACCGGAGTAGCGGGTATAAGGTAACGGGGCACGGATCTGGAATAGGTGGAGTACGGGCACGGGGAGTAACCGGGTCGGGGTACGGACGGATCTGGAGTAAGCGAGTACTGGATTGGGTAACGGGGCACGGATCTGGAATAGCGAGTACCGGATCAGCGAGTACTGGATAACGGGGCACGGATCTGGAATAGCGAGTACCGGGTGGGGTAACGGGGCACGGATCTGGAGTATACTGATTGGGTAACGGGGCAACGGATCTGGAGAAGTGTGCGGGGTAACGGGGCACGGATCTGGAATCTGAAGATTGGGCAATATCTAGAATAGTCAGTATCTGGCACGGATCTGGACTTGTGTACATGGCGTGTTCATCTACTGTATCTGGGGGGGTGGGGTGGGGGGGAGGGGTAATGATCCTCCTAGAAATGTCTTTCTGTGGCGGGAGTGACGGGTAACCTCTGGCTCCTCCCCCTCCAGCCTGAAGAAGATCCGGGCCAAGGTGTGGAAGCAGAGGATCTCCAGCCCGCTCTTCAACACCAAGCTGTACACCACGGACCTGGAGCGCCTCTACCTGCAGATGTGGGATCACTTCTCTCCGCCAGCAAAAAACCCCGACCATCTCATCAAGGCGGTGGAGAGTACCGAGTCGGCTTAGCTCCACCCCTATTCCTGCCGCTGCCAGCGAGGCCGCCGCCCACCAGGATCTCCTATCTCGACGTTTGGTCATGTTTGTTCGACTTTACAGGGACTCTGCGCTCGCCATCCAGCCGTGAACCGTCTTTGTGTTTGTGTTCCCGGGACGTTCCCGTTGGTCTCTTGGTCCGGTATTGCAGCAGATTTGAAGTTTTTCATGGTCGGTCCCCCCGCCGCGTGCGTCTGTGCGTGCGTGTGTGCGTGTCCGTGGGCTTTCCGTTCTTCGCTGACTGTGCAGATCGAACGATGAAATCACAAGAAGCATCATTAATGGTGTTCTCGTCCTTCTTATAGGTTTTATAAACCACGTGTAGCCTTTTCCTGTGTGCTTCGGTGTAAATGAGGTCCCCCCCCCCCCCCATAGTCTCATCAGAAATCCATTGTAGTGTACAAATATGGGCGGAGTCCTGGGAGGTCGGGTACACCCCCCCCCCCCCTCCTGGTTTTATTGGACTCGATCCGACCCTTACATTGTATGTATTTGTACTTTGCACGCTTTGACATCAGCTGAAGCCACTTTGATCCATTACCCCTCCCCCCTCCACTGTGGATGTCATTTCCTCCCCTCCCCCCCCCCCCTCCACTGTGGATGTCATTTCCTCCCCTCCCCCCCCCCTCCACTGTGGATGTCATTTCCTCCCCTCCCCCCCCCCCTCCCCCCCTCCACTGTGGATGTCATTTCCTCTCCCCCCTCCCCCCCCCCCTCCACTGTGGATGTCATTTCCTCCCCTCCCCCCCCCCCCTCCACTGTGGATGTCATTTCCTCCCCTCCCCCTCCCCCCCTCCCCCCACTGTGGATGTCATTTCCTCCCCTCCCCCCCCCCCCCCCTCCACTGTGGATGTCATTTCCTCCCCTCCCCCCCACCTCCCCCCCCCCCCCCCCCCCTCTACTGTGGATGTCATTTCCTCCCCTCCCCCCCCCCCCACTGTGGATGTCATTTCCTCCCCTCCCCCCCCCCTCCACTGTGGATATCATTTCCTCCCCTCCCCCCCCTCCACTGTAGATGTCATTGCATTGTCTGTGTGGGAATTGCATGTGCTGCAAAGATTAGATATGATGCTTCTGCCCAACGCCTGATTGGTTAATCCCCCCCCCCCCCCCCCCCCCCCATCATTGTTCACTTTTAGTCCGATGTAATAATTGAATTTTCTTATGTTCAGTAAACTTTAAGCGGAAAACAAATTCAATGTTTTTGTGTTTATTTCACATTCTGGTGGAGCGCCCGATTCCAGGTATAGATCTGAGAGGGCGGAGCTTGTGACCCACAAAGTTCTCATACAAAATATTCAGATAAGTGAGGGACCCCCCCCATCCCCCCCGTCATAGGAAGTGACCCCCCCCATATCATAAGAGTGACCCCCCCCAGTCATAGGAGTGACCCCCACCCCCCATCCCCCGGTCATAGGAGTGACCCCCACCCCATCCCCCCCGGTCATAGGAGTGACCCCCACCCCATCCCCCCGGTCATAGAGTGACCCCCACCCCATCCCCCGGTCATAGGAGTGGACCCCCACCCCATCCCCCCCCACGGTCATAGGAGTGACCCCCACCCCATCCCCCCGTCATAGGAGTGACCCCCCCCCATCCCCCCGTCATAGGAGTGACCCCCACCCCATCCCCCGGTCATAGGAGTGACCCCCACCCCATCCCCCGTCATAGGAGTGACCCCCCACCCCATCCCCCGGTCATAGGAGTGACCCCCACCCCCATCCCCCGTTCCCCCGGTCATAGGAGTGACCCCCACCCCATCCCCCCCCCCAGTCATAGGAGTGACCCCCACCCCATCCCCCCCCGTCATGGGAGTGACCCCATCCCCCCGTCATGGGAGTGACCCCATCCCCCAGTCATGGGAGTGACCCCATCCCCCAGTCATGGGAGTGACCCCATCCCCCAGTCATGGGAGTGACCCCATCCCCCAGTCCATGGGAGTGACCCCATCCCCCAGTCATGGGAGTGACCCCATCCCCCAGTCATGGGTGTGACCCCATCCCCCAGTCATGGGTGTGACCACCCCCCCCCCCCCCCCCCCCCCCAGTCATGGGTGTGACACCCCCCCCCCCCCCAGTCATGGTGTGACACCCCCCCCCCCCCCCAGTCATAGGTGTGACACCCCCCCCCCCCCCCCAGTCATAGGTGTGACACCCCCCCCCCCCCCCCCAGTCATAGGTGTGACACCCCCCCCCCCCCCCCCCCAGTCATAGGTGTGACACCCCCCCCCCCCCCCCAGTCATAGGTGTGACACCCCCCCCCCCCATCCCCCTGTCATAGGAGTGATCCCCATCCCCCAGTTTGCAGACTCTTCTGAAGAAGTTTTGATCGCCATCGTGTTCCCAGACATGAAGGACATTTATTCCTCAGAATACATCCCTGGGAGCAGACTGACACGTGACTGTATAATATACACACATCATACACGGGTACATGTGACTATATACACCTCATACACGGGTACATGTGACTGTCATACACGGGTACATGTGACTCTCATACACCTCACACGGGTACATGTGACTGTATATAACCTCATATACGGGTACATGTGACTGTATATACACCTCCTCATACACGGGTACATGTGACTGTATATATACACACCTCATACACGGGTACATGTGACTGTATATACACACCTCATACACGGGTACATGTGACTGTATATACACACCTCATACACGGGTACATGTGACTGTATATAACACACCTCATACACGGGTACATGTGACTGTATATACACACCTCATACACACGGGTACATGTGACTGTATATACTCCTCATACACGGGTACATGTGACTGTATACATATACTCCTCATACACGGGTACATGTGACTGTATATACTCCTCATACACGGGTACATGTGACTGTATCTAACCTCATACACGGGTACATGTGACTATATACATATGATATATATACATACACACACACACCTCATACATGGTACAACCCTGACTGTATACATATGAGTGTCTGCCCGTTATGATGTCATCACGTGGCTGCGCGCGGCATTAATACCACCCCGGAAGAGTCTGCTGGCGATCCTCACCGGCACATTTTCAGTTCCTTGTTCCATATACAAGGTGACTCCAGAAGTGACAATCATGATAGACGGCAGCGCCAAGCCAGGAACAACGGAGGGCCCCCACCAGTGGTCAGGAACAGACGGAGGGCCGAGCCCACCAGTGGCAGCCCCCCAGTGGTCAGGAACAGACGGAGGGCCGAGCCCACCAGTGACAGCCCCCCGTGGTCAGGAAAGCCGTTTGTATTGGATGAAGCTCAGTGGCCCGGCTGTGGTAACTCCATCTCGATGAAATTTTCCCCGATTTTTTTTACAGTGATCCATAAATGGTACTTTTTTTTTTTTTTTTTTTTTACCTTTGACTCCTCCCACTTGCCAACCATATTTATTTCTGGAGCAGGGGTGGACTGACAACTCATGGGGCCCCCAGGCAATAGGGGATCATGGGGCCCCTGTGTCCTTGCCCAAACTCAAAAAAGCCTATGAAAAAGGTACCAGGGACATCGCATGGGGCCCCTACTAACCCCGGGCCCTCGGGCAGTGCCGAGTTTCCCAATGGTCAGTCCGCCCCTGTTCTGGAGCCGTGTCTGGCCTCATCCATCCATGGAGGCTGTTATTGGCAGCAGATTTGGGGTGGGTGAGTCAGTCACCGCCTACCACCCAGCCTGTCCCAAGTGATGACAGCGGCTGCAAACCATCCACATGTGACGCACACGGAGTGCCGATCGCTCTGTACCGGCCCAGCCACTGCGGCTACCGGAATCCTGGGAGAATGAGGCCATATTGTCATCCGGAGGGACCTCGAGGAGAGAAAGACGAGGCTGCTCCATCTCCTGCCCTCACTGGCCACATGCTTGTTCCATGATCAGAAGATAACCCTGAGAAGACCACCGCCTCCCTCGTTCTCACACAAGACAGGTACTCTTTATTCATCACTGTACACCAGTATTTATTACACAATTCACAAATTCTTACAAAAAATATCTACAAAGTGAAGGTTCTAAAGGTGAAGCCAGAGGACAGACATGTGAGAACTGCCATTGTTTTTCCCCGGCTTCACTGACTAGGGACCAGCATGCAGCCAGTGAAAGTCCATGTGCTGCAAGGTGTAGGGTAGCTCTGTAGTCACTAGGGGGTGAAGCTGGGGATGGGAATGACAGCCGATGGAAGACGCAGACCTCTGATACAGAACTGCATCTCACACGTCCAATAAAATTCCACATAAAACGTGAATTGCCTCCGGATGGAGAGTACACAGTGAGGGCCACGGGACAGAGTGGGCCCCACCTAGAGTACAGGGGGGCCACGGGACAGAGCGGGCTCCACCTAGAGTACAGGGGGGCCACGGGACAGAGCGGGCCCCACCTAGAGTACAGGGGGGCCACGGGACAGAGCGGGCCCCACCTAGAGTACAGGGGGGCCACGGGACAGAGCGGGCCCCACCTAGAGTACAGGGGGGCCACGGGACAGAGCGGGCCCCACCTAGAGTACAGGGGGGCCACGGGACAGAGCAGGCCCCACCTAGAGTACAGGGGGGCCCTGAGTGGTCAGATCAATCACCCAGTAAAAGCTGACCTGGTGTCACCCCGATACATTTCCTGTGACCCCGCAGACTGACACCGACCCCCGATATTTATACCAGCAAATCGTTCTACTCGTTGTCACTGTCGCTGTCTCCATGAAGAGATCCGAAGTCCTCCTCGCTATCCTCATCCTCAGACAGCTGCACCTGGCGCAGCACGTTGGGGCCGAGGCGCTCTTCCTCCTCATCTTCATCCTCTGACAACCCGTACCCTCCAATGCTGCTGTAGCTGGTGTCCCGGGTGTTGGATTTCGGATCCGGTTCTTCATAACTTCCATAACTACATGAAGTCAAACAAACAGAACAATTGTCATCGAAAGACTAAAATCTGCAGAAAACAGGGGAGGGGGGGGGGGGGGGAGAGGGAGGGGGAGGGGGGACATGACCTTTAAGGACCAGAGATTGGGGTTCAGTGACAGTCCTCAGCGGCAGATCATCACAACTCTCTACATTTCCATCTGTCCTGCATTGAGTTGGAGGAGGAGGAGAGGGTTCACCTATATCCACTCTGGATGGGGGGGGGGTGCAGCCTCCTCTATATCCACTCTGGATGGGGGGGGGTGCAGCCTCCTCTATATCCACTCTGGATGGGGGGGGGTGCAGCCTCCTCTATATCCACTCTGGATGGGGGGGGGGGGGGGGGGGTGCAGCCTCCTCTATATCCACTCTGGATGGGGGGGGGGGGGGGGGGGGGGGGGGGGGGGGGGGGTGCAGCCTCCTCTATATCCACTCTGGATGGGGGGGGGGGGGGTGCAGCCTCCTCTATATCCACTCTGGATGGGGGGGGGGTGCAGCCTCCTCTATATCCACTCTGGATGGGGGGGGGGGGGGGGGGTGCAGCCTCCTCTATATCCACTCTGGATGGGGGGGGGGGGGGCTGCAGCCTCCTCTATATCCACTCTGGATGGGGGGGGGGGTGCAGCCTCCTCTATATCCACTCTGGATGGGGGGGGGGGGGGGGGGTGCAGCCTCCTCTATATCCTCCAACTAACACGACAGAGATATGACCTCCCCCCCTCCACATACAGGTCATACAACACACAATGTGTCACGGTGACACGTGAACACGGGACCTACCTCATGTTGCTGTCCTCCATTCCCTGGGAGGTCTCCATCCCCTCCCCATAGGACATCATACTTTCATCGTTCTCTCATCCCCATCCTGGTGTTCTCCTGCATCATGTGAGGCTGTTTGGGTCGGATTCCTCCGGATTCGATGTCCGAGTCGCTGCCGCTCTCACTCAGCTGGATGGCTGCACAGAGAAATCACGCTCAGTACGGGGCCACCCCCTGCCTGTCATGTGCCCAATAGGGGGCCGCCCCTGCCCACACCCCGTCATGCGCCCAATAGGGGGCCGCCCCTGCCCACCCGTCATGTGCTCTGTACGGAGCCGCCCCCACCCGTCATGTGCCCAGTACGGAGCCGCCCCCACCCGTCATGTGCCCAGTACGGAGCCGCCGGTCCATCCATCCACCAAGCTGGGGTCTGGTATGGAGAAATCTCTTCCTGCTCAGGCAGGACTTGGGACCCCGCCGACATCTGCTGGGCCCCCCACACACAATGATCTGCAATGGGACTCACATGAGAAGGGGTTATCTCCTTCCTCATCACTTCCATCATCATCTTCACCATCCGACATCAACAGATCTTCATACAGGACACTGGCCTGCGTCTGCTGCACCGCATTGTCCTCCTCCTCCCCCAGATCTCCGTCCACGTCCTCCACCTCCTGTATGTATGGAGAGAAGGGTGAGGCGTGTACTCCCCGTATACACCAGTCCTCATCCTCAGTGTGGGGGGGGGTACTTACAGGGGCCGGGGTCTTTGGTTTTCCATCATCGTCTTCTTCAAATCCTTCAATATCCACATCAGAGTCGTCTTCACCCAGCCGGCCTCGCCCCAACCTCATCTGTAAAGGACCACGGCCATTAATATAGAGCCCCCCCCCACCATGGCCATCAATATGCAGCAGACCCCCCCTCCTCCCCGTGGCCATCAATATGGAGCAGACCCCCCCCCCTCCCCCACCCTCCTCCCCGTGGCCATCAATATGGAGCAGACCCCCCCCCCCCCCCCCCCACCCTCCTCCCCGTGGCCATCAATATGGAGCAGACCCCCCCCTCCCCCACCCTCCTCCCCGTGGCCATCAATATGGAGCAGACCCCCCCCCCCCCCTCCTCCCCCGTGGCCATCAATATGGAGCAGACCCCCCCCTCCCCCCCACCCTCCTCCCCGTGGCCATCAATATGGAGCAGACCCCCCCCCTTCCTCCCCATGGCCATCAATATGGAGCAGACCCCCCCCACCCTCCACCCCGTGGCCATCAATATGGAGCAGACCCCCCCTCCTCCCCGTGGCCATCAATATGGAGCAGAACCCCCCCTCCCCACCATGGCCATCAATATGGAGCAGAACCCCCCCACCCTCTCCTCCCCGTGGCCATCAATATGGAGCAGACCCCCCCCCCCCCCCCTCCTCCCCGTGGCCATCAATATGGAGCAGAACCCCCCCTCCCCCCCGTGGCCATCAATATGGAGCAGACCCCCCCCACCCTCCTCCCCATGGCCATCAATATGGAGCAGAACCCCCCCTCCCCCACCCTCCTCCCCGTGGCCATCAATATGGAGCAGACCCCCCCCCCCCACCCTCCTCCCCGTGGCCATCAATATGGAGCAGAACCCCCCCCTCCCCCCCACCCCTCCTCCCCGTGGCCATCAATATGGAGCAGACCCCCCCCCCCACACCCTCCTCCCTGTGGCCATTAATATAGAGGCCCCCCCCCCCCACCATGGCCATCAATATGGAGCAGAACACCCCCCCCACCCTCCTCCCCCGTGGCCATCAATATGGAGCAGACCCCCCCCCCCCCCCCCACCCTCCTCCCCGTGGCCATCAATGTGGAGTAGACCCCTGTGTGGCCATCAGAATGTAATAGACCCCCCATGGCTATTACTATGGAGTAGACCCCCCTCCCCCCATGGCCATCAGTATGGAGTAGCGCCCCCCCCCATGGCCATTACTATGGAGTAGCGCCCCCCCCATGACCATCAATACGGAGTAGCGCCCCCACATGGCCATCACTATGGAGTAGCGCCCCCCCCATGGCCATTACTATGGAGTAGCGCCCCCCCCATGGCCATTACTATGGAGTAGCGCCCCCCATGGCCATTACTATGGAGTAGCGCCCCCCCCATGGCCATTACTATGGAGTAGCGCCCCCCCCATGACCATCAATACGGAGTAGCGCCCCCACATGGCCATCACTATGGAGTAGCGCCCCCCCCCATGGCCATTACTATGGAGTAGCGCCCCCCCCCATGGCCATTACTATGGAGTAGCGCCCCCCCCATGGCCATTACTATGGAGTAGCGCCCCCCATGGCCATTACTATGGAGTAGCGCCCCCCCCATGGCCATTACTATGGAGTAGCGCCCCCCCCCCCATGGCCATTACTATGGAGTAGCGCCCCCCCCCCATGGCCATTACTATGGAGTAGCGCCCCCCCCCATGGCCATTACTATGGAGTAGCACCCCCCCCATGGCCATTACTATGGAGTAGCGCCCCCCCCCATGGCCATTACTATGGAGTAGCGCCCCCCCCCCCATGGCCATTACTATGGAGTAGCGCCCCCCCCCCATGGCCATTACTATGGAGTAGCGCCCCCCCCCCCCATGGCCATTACTATGGAGTAGCGCCCCCCCCCCATGGCCATTACTATGGAGTAGCGCCCCCCCCCCCATGGCCATTACTATGGAGTAGCGCCCTCCCCCCCCCATGGCCATTACTATGGAGTAGCGCCCTCCCCCCCCCATGGCCATTACTATGGAGTAGCGCCCCCCCCCCCCCATGGCCATTACTATGGAGTAGCGCCCCCCCCCCCATGGCCATTACTATGGAGTAGCGCCCCCCCCCCCCCCATGGCCATTACTATGGAGTAGCGCCCCCCCCCCCATGGCCATTACTATGGAGTAGCGCCCCCCCCCCATGGCCATTACTATGGAGTAGCGCCCCCCCCATGGCCATTACTATGGAGTAGCGCCCCCCATGGCCATTACTATGGAGTAGCTGGTTTGATTCCCTTCCTGCAGTAAAGTAATACTCCACACTCTGCAGTGAATGTTCACTGACCCCCCCCCCCCCCCCCCCCCCCCCCCCCCGGACACACCCAGAGGTCACATCTGCTGTATGGCTCCCTGCAGGTTCAGGAGCCCCCCCCAGTCTGGGTGGAATCTACAATCCCCTCCCCCGTGTGTCCTGTATGATCCCATATACGGGATATATTACCAGGCTCCTCCTCTGCAGGGAGGCGGTGGCGGCTTCGGTGGCGGACATGTTGCTCTCATCCTGGTACAGAGACGCCTCGCGGACATGCTCAGTGAGGTGTTCGTGTCGTAGTAGTCCGGAGGCTGAAAATCAACAAATCAAATGTCTGCATTGGAAGTACCTGATTCGTCACACCCGAGGGGGCGGTGCTTATTACAACCCCCAATAATATCGTCTCCCACTGAACGTAGAACTTCCCTCTTACCTTTTGTCCCCATCCCCCTCCTGTAGAGACACATGTGCCCACCCTGTACTTACCTCTCCTCAGTCCAGCGCTGGAGGTCCTCTGAGCAACAGTCACGTCCACTTCCTGTGAGCCCAGGTCATCCTTTACACTCCCTCTAGGAGGCGCCTCATCACACAGGGCACTCTTCCTGGACACAGTGGTGCTCTTCATTATCAGGGGGTTCTATAACCCACCTGACCCGTCTGACACCAACCTGTGGAGTGTATGGTCCTACAGGTGTCACTGGTTCTAGAACCCACCAGACCCGTCTGACACCAACCTGTGGAGTGTATGGTTCTACAGGTGTCACTGGTTCTAGAACCCACCTGACACCAACCTGTGGAGTGTATGGTCCTACAGGTGTCACTGGTTGTACAACCCACCTGACACCCACCTGTGGAGTGTATGGTCCTACAGGTTGTCACTGGTTCTAGAACCCACCTGACACCAACCTGTGGAGTGTATGGTCCTACAGGTGTCACTGGTTTCTAGAACCCACCTGACACCAACCTGTGGAGTGTATGGTCCTACAGGTGTCACTGGTTCTATAACCCACCTGACACCCACCTGTGGAGTGTATGGTCCTACAGGTGTCACTGGTTCTAGAACCCACCTGACACCAACCTGTGGAGTGTATGGTCCTACAGGTGTCACTGGTTCTAGAACCCACCTGACACCAACCTGTGGAGTGTATGGTCCTACAGGTGTCACTGGTTCTAGAACCCACCTGACACCAACCTGTGGAGTGTATGGTCCTACAGGTGTCACTGGTTCTAGCACCCCACCTGACACCAACCTGTGGAGTGAAGGGTCCTATAGGTGTCACTGGTTCTATAACCCACCTGACCCTAACCTGTGGAGTGTAGGGTCCTATAGGTGTCACTGGTTCTATAACCCACCTGACCCTAACCTGTGGAGTGTAGGGTCCTATAGGTGTCACTGGTTCTAGAACCCACCTGACACCAACCTGTGGAGTGTATGGTCCTACAGGTGTCACTGGTTCTAGAACCCACCTGACACCAACCTGTGGAGTGTATGGTCCTACAGGTGTCACTGGTTCTATAACCCACCTGACACCCACCTGTGGAGTGTATGGTCCTACAGGTGTCACTGGTTTAGAACCCACCTGACACCAACCTGTGGAGTGTATGGTCCTACAGGTGTCACTGGTTCTAGAACCCACCTGACACCAACCTGTGGAGTGTATGGTCCTACAGGTGTCACTGGTTCTAGAACCCACCTGACACCAACCTGTGGAGTGTATGGTCCTACAGGTGTCACTGGTTCTAGCACCCACCTGACACCAACCTGTGGAGTGAAGGTCCTATAGGTGTCACTGGTTCTATAACCCACCTGACCCTAACCTGTGGAGTGTAGGGTCCTATAGGTGTCACTGGTTCTATAACCCACCTGACCCTAACCTGTGGAGTGTAGGGTCCTATAGGTGTCACTGGTTCTAGAACCCACCTGACACCAACCTGTGGAGTGTATGGTCCTATAGGTGTCACTGGTTCTAGAACCCACCTGACCCGTCTGACACCCAACCTGTGGAGTGTAGGGTCCAGGAGTCATGGTTCCAGGCTCTCCAGATCGGCTTCATCCAGGGCGGCCTCCTTGGCGGTGGAGATGTCCTTCTCTAGCTGAGTCAGGTGCTCATCATACTGGGATGGGGAGGAAATGAGGAGCGTCAGTCTGAGGATTCATCTCGGGGCACAAAAGCTGCAGGAAGCTCCTTACCTCGGCCAGAGTCTGACTGCAAATATTGACAATCTCCTGCGCCGTCTTACTGTACTGACTGTCCGAACCTGGAATACAGACAGAAGGAATGACACCCTCCACACCCCCATGACACCAGTGACTCCTCCCTGAAGATGTATATCTGTGACAGAATGAGTGGACACGGCTCTCCGTGGCCGGGAGGCAGCTCAGGGTGTCACTGATGAGACGCCGATGACAAGAAATGAGCTGAAATCAGAGTCGGCCATGAGGTGCGAGGCCGTGAGGTGCGAGGTCGTGAGGTGCGAGGTCGTGAGGTGCGAGGTCATTCGGTACAAAGCCATGAGGTGCGAGGTCATGCGGTACAAAGCCATGCGGTGCGAGGTCATGCGGTACAAAGCCATGAGGTGCGAGGTCGTGAGGTGTGCGAGGCCGTGAGGTGCGAGGCCGTGAGGTGCGAGGCCGTGAGGTGCGAGGCCGTGAGGTGCGAGGCCGTGAGGTGCGAGGGGCCGGCGTGCGAGGCCGTGCGGTGCGAGGTCGTGCGGTGTGAGGTCATGCGGTGTGAGGGACGGTGTCACCACGTGCGGTGCGAGGTCATGCGGTGTGAGGGACGGTGTCACCACGTGCGGTGCGAGGTCATGCGGTGTGAGGGACGTGTCACCACGTGCGGTGTGAGGTCATGCGGTGTGAGGGACGGTGTCACCACGTGCGGTGCGAGGCCGTGCGGTGCGAGGCCGTGCGGTGCGAGGTCATGCGGTGTGAGGGACGGTGTCACCCACGTGCGGTGCGAGGCCGTGCGGTGTGGTGAGGGACGGTGTCACCACGCACAGTGCAGATCAGGACGCCTGGGATGGGGTTTGCTGTGGATTTGCCATCTGAGCTCCAACAAACCTGGCCGGCGGCAGCATTTTCCCCGATGGAGCTCACTGCGGTGCTGACGGCTGAACACCTCCCCGTGTGGTTTGCGGTTAAACATCTGAACCTACAGAATGTTCGACCACCAAACTGAGCGGTGTCATCCTGCATCTGAGTGTGCGGTGCGATCCCACTCAGCGACTACACCCCCCCCCCCAGTGATTACATTCCACCAATGGAAAGCTCCGTGTCAACAAAATGATACAAATTCCACCTGGGTACAGCGTTGCATGACCGCGCAATGGTCAAAGTGTGAGATCGCTGAAAGCTGTGAATCGGCCTGGGCAGGAAGGGTGGGGGTGGGGTGTCTGAAGACGTGGCGGACTCACCGTTGTACTTGACGCTGTTTGTACAGATCAGATTGACGTCGGACAGGAAGATCTCCCGATTCTGATATTTGTGCTTCGAGATGTTCTGGGATCGAGGAAATGACCACGTCAGGGGGACGGTCCAGAACTACAAAGGTTGTCACAGGAAGGGAAAGCCGCTGACCCCCCCCCCCCCCCCCCCCCCGCTGATGGCCCCTCCACTGACTGTCCCACTAACCGCCCCCACTGACCCCCCCCCCCCCCACCCCCTGCTGACCACCCCCCCACTGACTGTCCCGTTGACTGTCCCCCACTAACCACCCCCACTGATGGCCCCCCCACTGACTGTCCCTTTGACTGTCCCCCACTAACCACCCCCACTGATGGCCCCCCCACTGACTGTCCCACTGACCCCCCCCCCCCCCACTGACTGTCCTGCTAACCGCCCCCACTGACCTCCCCCCCCCCCCACTGACTGTCCCACTGACCCCCCCCCCCACTGACTGTCCTGCTAACCGCCCCCACTGACCTCCCCCTCCCCCCACTGCTGGCCCCCCACTGACTGTCCCGCTGACCCTCCCCGCTGATCGCCCCCCACTGACTGTCCTGCTAACCGCCCCCCCCCCCACTGACCCCCCCCCCCCACTGACTGTCCCGCTGACCATCCCCCGCTGATCGCCCCCCACTGACTGTCCTGCTAACCACCCCCCACTGGCTGTCCTGCTAACTGCCCCCCCCCTGACCCTCCCACTGACCCACCCCCCTGCTGACCACCCCCCCCCACTGACTGTCCTGCTAACCGCCCCCCATTGACCCCCCCCCCCACTGACTGTCCTGCTAACCGCCCCCCACTGACCCCCCCCCCCCGCTGACCACCCCCCCGACTGTCCCGCTAACCGCCCCCACTGACCCCTCCCCCCTGCTGACCACCCCCCCACAAACTGTCCCGCTAACCGCCCCCACTGACTGTCCCCCCGCTAACCACCCCCACTGATCCTCCCACTGACTGCCCCCCCCCCCGACCATGCCGATAACCGCTCCCCCACTGACCCCCCCCCGCTAACCACCCCCACTGATCCTCCCACTGACTGCCCCCCCCCGACCATCCCGATAACCGCTCCCCCACTGACCCCCCCCCCCGCTGACCGCCCCCACTGACCGTCCCCTGCTAACCGCTCCCACTGACTGTCTCACTGGCCGTCCCCTGCTAACCGCCCCCACTGACCCTCCCACTGCCACCCCCCCCCCCCTTACCTGGCGGATTGTCTCCAGATCCATCGGGTTGAAGATGACTTTATAGTAGTCGGGAACAAACTTTTTGTTGACAGGAAGGTGGAAGGGCCACGACTGCAGAGAGGGAAAAGAGAGGTCTAAAGATGTGAAATGTACAGAATGCAGCATGGATTTCCACGTTCACCACTTACAGGTAGGGCCCCATCAGGTCCGGGATGAAGGTACAGAATGCATCCTGGGAACTTGGCCCTAAATGCCGGTATCGCTCAGCAGCACCTCATCCAGCCACGGCCTGTCATAGACTACGATGGCCGCCTGCAGCAGGACTGGATGTGGGACCTGTCCCTCCGGGGTGCGCTATTCCACTGGACAGCCCTGTGTGCAAGGGGCCTACAGAGCAAACCCAATGTAAGCGTGTCCCGTCATATATTCAGTCTCGGGGTATCTATGTGCTACAGGAAATCATGACAGAGGGAAACACCTTTGCTGGTATCTGGCTGAAAATGGCAGTTAAAGCGGAACTCTGGGTAAAATAAAAAAAATGACGCACGTGATGACGTCAATAACACACGGCTGTTACTCTTACCTTTCTTTATACAGGTTTTATTTTGCTCCGCCCCCCCCCCCTTGCTCCCACCCCTTTCCCTGGCTGTCTGGTTAAAAATGCATTTGGAGCCCCTGACCTACAACAAGCATGCAGCCAGTGAAGCTCGGCCTCCTGATCTCTGAAAACACCGATCGTCATGTAGGACAAGTCCTGTGTGAAGTCACACGCTCCGCGTGTTCCCCGGTCACAGGCCAAGCAGAACATGGAGGGAGGTCAGGGCAGAGGAACTCACGTCGGGCACCGCCATCATCTTCTGTGTGACGATATTGTCCAGGATGAAGGAGAACGCCACTTGGTCGTCGTCATCCAGTAAGGGGTTAATGGCCTTCTCCAGCCGGGCCAGCTTGTCCTCCTTCTGGAAATCAAATGACACCATGAATCCGGACACACAACACAGTGACACCGACGGGGCAGGATACACACTTCCGCCTTCCCCTAACCCGCTTGTATCTACTGCATGGCGTGCGACTCCTGCCCACATGGGACCTGTTCATTGTCAGTGTGCGCACAGTGACCAGGCGAGGACCAGGATGTGGCCTGACACCCTACAACTCCACGACATCAACCTCCTTCATGTAGGAACTTCTCCCTTGTAGGATCACCAATGACACTCCTGTCTATAGGTGTCACTAGGAGAGAATCAGGACCCTGCGTGTCTATAGGTGTCACTAGGAGAGAGTCAGGATCCTGTGTGTCTATAGGTGTCACTAGGAGTCAGGATCCTGTGTGTCTAGGAGTCACTAGGAGTCAGGATCCTGTGTGTCTATAGGTGTCACTAGGAGTCAGGATCCTGTGTGTCTATAGGTGTCACTAGGAGAGAGTCAGGACCTGTGTGTCTATAGGTGTCACTAGGAGAGAGTCAGGATCCTGTGTGTCTATAGGTGTCACTAGGATAGAGTCAGGATCATGTGTGTCTATAGGTGTCACTAGGAGAGAGTCAGGATCCTGTGTGTCTATAGGTGTCACTAGGAGTCAGGATCCTGTGTGTCTATAGGTGTCACTAGGAGTCAGGATCCTGTGTGTCTATAGGTGTCACTAGGAGTCAGGATCCTGTGTGTCTATAGGTGTCACTAGGAGTCAGGATCCTGTGTGTCTATAGTGTCACTAGGAGTCAGTATCCTGTGTGTCTATAGGTGTCACTAGGAGTCAGGATCCTGTGTGTCTATAGGTGTCACTAGGAGAGAGTCAGGACCCTGTGTGTCTATAGGTGTCACTAGGAGAGAGTCAGGATCCTGTGTGTCTATAGGTGTCACTAGGATAGAGTCAGGATCATGTGTGTCTATAGGTGTCACTAGGAGAGAGTCAGGATCCTGTGTGTCTATAGGTGTCACTAGGAGAGAGTCAGGACCCTGTGTGTCTATAGGTGTCACTAGGAGAGAGTCAGGACCCTGTGTGTCTATAGGTGTCACTAGGAGAGAGTCAGGACCCTGTGTGTCCATAGGTGTCACTAGGAGTCAGATCCTGTGTGTCTATAGGTGTCACTAGGAGAGTCAGGATCCTGGTGTCACTAGGTGTCACTAGGAGTCAGGATCCTGGGTGTCTATAGGTGTCACTAGGAGAGAGTCAGGATCCTGTGTGTCTATAGGTGTCACTAGGATAGAGTCAGGATCCTGTGTGTCTATAGGTGTCACTAAGCTAGAGTCAGGATCCTGTGTGTCTATAGGTGTCACTAGGATAGAGTCAGGATCCTGTGTGTCTATAGGTGTCACTAAGCTAGAGTCAGGATCCTGTGTGTCTATAGGTGTCACTAGGATAGAGTCAGGATCCTGTGTGTCTATAGGTGTCACTAGG